GGCCCTTTTGCTACACCTTTTCTCCACAAAATAAGATTTTTGATAGTTTGGGTTAGGAAAAAATAAAAAAAAATGATTTAAAACTACTATATATGAAACAAAATAAAAAGTTTGTAAAAATAGAAATTAAAATAAAACTAAGCTAAACAAATGAAAATTAAACAATAAAAATATTAAAAATGTAGAAAAGAGAATTAAAATACTAACCCAAACCCGACTGATCAAAATCCTTACCCACATCACGGATGTCCCCAAACCCTACCTCCAATCGTTTTTCCATGCGGGCCTAAAGAACCATCTTCAGCATGAGATCAGCTTCTTGAGGCCTCCCACATTGTGAGAGTCATTCGCATTGGCAAGAGAGTTGGAAGCAAAAAATTAGGCCATTGTTCAGCCGGTGGGAATTAAGAGTTTGTAGTGGGGGGCCAACCCTAACTGCAGCAACCTTAGCCGCACTATGACTGAGGGGTCTGTGGGGTCGGTAGCCAAACCAACCCAATCGGGTAGTGGGAACAAGCCCCATTCAAAAGGTCACGAATCCATCGCGACAACTCCAATCAAGCGTCTCACCTGTGCTGAACGGATAGAGAAGGATGCTAAAGGACTCTGCAAAAATTGTGACCAAAAGTGTCATAAAGGGCATAAGTGTAGGAGATTTATTCTGAACATGGGGGACGACGAAGCAGAAGAGGAAGGCGGTGACCTAGAGGAAGAGCTAGAAGTGGTGGCTAACATATCAAGCCTCAATAGCCTAGCGGGTCTCACCACACCCCGCTCCTTACAGCTAACGGGACGCGTAGGATAGAAGGGGTTGGACATCCTTATTAATGGGGGAAGCACCCACAATTTTGTACACCCCCAGGAAGTGGAGAAATTGGGCTTGAGCGTAAAAGCGGTGTCCACCTTTCAGGTGTACATGGGCAATGGAGATACATTATGTTGCAGCCAACAATGTCGGAATGTTTTGTTGGAACTACAGGGAACACCTTTCACAGTGGATCTATACGTTCTTCAAATTCATCGGCATGATATGGTCCTCGGAGTTCAATGGCATAGGTTGCTGGGACGCGTCTTGCACAACTACGACAAGGTTACTATGGAGTTCACATGGGGCGAGCAGCAGGTCATGTTGCATGGCCATACCCCGGCTCCCAAACCGAAGACCTATATTGCACCATCTAAGAGCCCTGCATGCAAAACAGGAAGTTTGTGGCAGTGTCATCCTCATTGTTGTCTAGGCATGGACAGCGGCGGACGAGCAGCCCGGCATGGGAGAGGTCGAGCTACCGAGGGAGTTGGTGGAGCTCTTATATTATTTTGACGATGTGTTCAAGGAGCCCCAAGGACTGCCACCGCACCGAACCACCGAACATAGAATGTTCTTGCAGTTCGAAGTGGCGCGGTGAGCATGCGGGCATATCAGTATCCTCATTTTCAAAAGGTATAAATTGAGAGAGAGGTTAAACAGATGCTGGACCAGGGTCTCATATGGCCTAGTCAGAGTCTTTTCTCCTCACCTATACTTCTTGTACGAAAGAAGGATGGGACTTATCAGTTCTGTGTGGACTATCGGGCTTTAAATACAGTAATGGTCCCAGATCACTTCCCCATTCCAATGGCCGACGAGTTGTTTGATGAGCTAGGGAGGGCACGTGTGTTTTAAAAATTGGATCTATAGTCAGTTAATCACCCAATCAAAATGAATGACAAGGACATACACAAGACGACCTTCCGAACGCATGAGGGACACTACGAATTTTTGGTAATGTCGTTCGTTCTTAGTAACGCTTTTTCAACCTTCCATGCTTGCATGAATCAGTTGTTCGCTCCTTACTTACGAGGCTTTGTTATCGTATTCTTCGACGACATTTTAGTATATAGCCCGACCCTGGAAGAACATCACCAGCACCTGGGAAATGTCTTCTCCCTCCTCAGGGATAGTCACTTGTATGTCAAACGTACTAAGTGTACCTTCGGCATGTCACAGGTGGAATATTTGGGGCAAATTGTGAGGAACAAGGTCTTGCAAGCCGACAACACCAAAATTGCTACCATGGAACAATGGCCGCGACCCACAACCCTAAGGCAACTAGGGGGTTCCTTGGGCTCACGGGGTATTACAGATGGTTCGCCCGACACTATGCATAAATTGCAGTACCTTTGACATACTTGCTCAAGAAAGATGCTTTTAAATGGTCGGAGAAGGCGGAATCTGCTATTGAGCAATTAAAGAAGGCTATGATCACGACGCCCATCCTCTGGTTACCAGACTTCATGGAGGGTTTTGTGGTGAAGACGAATGCGTATGGAACAGGCGTGGGCGTGGTACTCCTGCAGCAAGAGCAACCAATAGCCTATTTTAGCAAGAAGTTAAACCCCAAGCAAATCACGGCTTCGACCTATCACATGGAGTTATATGTGATTGTTGAGGCGGTAAAGAGGTGGAGACAATATCAAAGCCTATGGGAACTGCTCCACCAGGTGGTTCAAACTCCGGACCAACACTTCTATGTTCGGAAACTCTTGGGATACATGATCAAAATAGAATATAAACCAGGTGCTTTAAATAGAGTGGCAGATGCCTTTTCGCGGAAAGGTGAGCCGCCACTCGACGGACAACTCCTACTCACCCTTTCAATGCTGGTACCGCATCTCATGGATGAGCTACGCAAGGAAAACGGAACCCAAACCGACTTAATGGCACGTCATGTGGAGCATAGCCAGGGGAAGCTTCCCAAACCTTATTCAGTGGTGGACGGGCTGCTCTTATACAAGTGGTGGCAATGCATGAGCTCCACATCGGATCTACGCAGCCACCTCATACGGGAACATCATGACACCCCCTCGTCAGACACCTAAGAGTGCATCGTACCTTTCTCCGCCTCGCCCAATGTTTTTACTGTCCACACCTAAGGATCGAGGTGAAGGAGTACGTCCATGATTGCCACACTTGTCAAACCACCAACTACTCAACACAGCCGCCAGCAGGGTTATTGAAGCCGCTGCCAGTACCGAATCAGGTTTGGGAGGACATATCAATGGATTTCATCGTGGGTTTACCACCGTCCTGAGGCTTCACCGTAATCATGGTGGTGGTGGATTGGCTAACAAAAGTAGTACATTTGGTAGTGATGCCTACAGGATTTGACGCACACTGGGCGGCACACCTCTTCATTGACATCGTGGTTAAACTTCACGGGTTCATAAAAACAATTGTGTCGGATCGGGATCGAGTGTTCCTCAACAACTTATGGCGGGAGACGTTAAAGACCAGTGGAACAAATTTGACCATGAGCACAGCTTTCCATCCCCAAACGGATGGCCAAATGGAAGTGATGAATCAAGCGGTGGAGCAATGCTTACGGGCGTTCACTCAAGACAAACCCACACGATGGACTGTCTTACATCCATGGGAGGAATACGCTCTTAACACCAGTGTACATGCGGGTCTGCAAATAACCCTATTTGAAGCCCTATATGGTAGACCACAGCCAACCTTCTTACCCTACCGCCAAGGGGAAAACAAGGTACCAGAGGTTGATCATTTTCTACACGAAAGGGAATCTCTCTTACGGAGACTATGTGAAAAGTTGAAGTAAACACAGCAACGGATGGTCTTGGCTGCCAACCGACATCGATGGGATTTAAGGTTCAACGAAGGGGACTTGGTGTTGTTAAAATTACAGCCGTACCGACAACACTTCGTTGTCCGACTGAGGTTGCAGAAGCTTGCTAAGAGGTTCTATATATGGGCCCTTCTGAGTTTTGGAAGACATCGGGGAGACAACATATCGGCTGAAGTTACTGGAGGGCTCAAGGATTCACCCTGTCTTTCATGTATCTATGTTGCGGCCGTACTATGGGAGCTCACCAAACCGGGACCAAATTGCTTTACTGAAAGAGTTTGTGCATGGGCAGCTGCTGTCCGAGCCTGTGCGCATACCTGCCACTCGACATGTGTTGGTGCGAGGAAGGCCAGAGAACCAATATCTCGTGGATTGGTCTGATGAGGGATGTGGTGATCCCACGTGGGAGCCGTACGACAGAATTCAACGTCATTTCCCAACACGACACCTTGAGGACAAGGTGGTATCTCAAGCGGAGGGGAATGATACGAGTGAGCCAGGTGAGGACCAGATTGGGGGACGGAGTATTAGCAAGGAAAAATCCAAATGGGTTAGGGCTTTGGAAAATGGGGACTCGGCCAAAGAAGATGGCAACACACGAGGAAAGCTCCAGGATGGCATGGAGACTATGTTCTAAAGTGAGACCTAATTATACATTATTTATTTATCCCTTTATATTTACGCGTAATAGATTTTTCTTCGGAGAGCGGAATTATAAGCTCCTTCGAGGGTTTCTTTACGGTTCTTTACCTCGTCGCTTTTCTTTGAACCGTCAGGATAGAAAACCTAGTTTTAGTAGGATTGAGGTTTCTCTCCAACCTATAAATAGAGGATGTACTTCACTCACTCTTTATGGAATAATAATCAAACCCCAAAACCTAATTGGATTTTGAAGGCACTCGAAGCCCTTCCTTCATTCTTTTTTTTGTATCAAACATGCACTAAAAATCGATTATGGGTAGCAGGATGCTGAGGGCAGGGGTGACTAGTGAGTTAAGAGGGTAAAAATCATTAATTTTATGAATAATGCATCATAAGTACGTGCCTTATTTCATATTATGGAATTGACAACCAATATCAAATGATCTTTGATGCCTTAATTATAATAAAAAAAAAATAATACTTATTATTCATGATGGATGTATCGATTTTGTGGGATTATGGAATAGGGCTAACATGCTCTTTTAATTGAATGCCTCTTGTGTTCATGGGCTTTCGGCCGAGAGGGGTTCTATTTGATGGAGTTATCTACAATATGCTACCCTCTAGGGAGTGGGCTTGCGCCTTGGGTATGGACACGTGGGCGAGAGACAATTAGTTAGGAGATCTAGCCGATAGTGGAGAATGACTCTGCAGCTGAAATTGATGACAGTCACCGCGATTGTGGTGTCAAATCAGGATGACGACAAAACGATTCCGTCTTTGTTTCCATCGTTATATGGGGCTCGCACTACTTCCCGCGTATACTTAACAATGAACCTATAAATCTATCGTTAAAACTTGTAGGCGAGTACATTCCGTCACTGTTTCTGTTGTTATTAGCGTCAAAATGCAATGCATTGCCATTTTACGTCGTCTTTTTCACGTTTTCTTGCAGTGATGACAAACGGTTACTAATTAAGTATAATGTCTTATACAGAATATAAATAAAAAATCAAACCTCATGTAAAGGTCAAGCTATTCTAAGAATTAGAGATAATATATTTCGAGATTTTCCTTATTATTGATCTTTGTGCATTCATAGTCGGTGACTTAAAATCAATCAACTCCATTTTATATAAACACACACTAATAAAAAAGGATAAAAAATTACTTCCTCAATTACATCAGTTATTGAAACAACCGATGCATTCAACAACATCGGTTAATGCAAAGAACTGATGTCATTGATATTTTTTAAATTTCGAAAAATAAAAATGGGTATTAGCACCAGTTATTTAGAATAACCGATGCAAATAACCGATTCCCAAATCTTTTTATTTTAATTAAAAAAGGCTTTGGCATCAACTATATTTTATAAGAACCGATGCCACCCCCCTAATTTAAAAAAAGAACATATATTTGGCATCGGTTCTTCAAAAATAACCGACGCCAAAGCCTATTTATTTTTGTAATTAAACAAAAAAAGTTTTTCCTTATTCGAGAAGAACCAAAGCCAAAGCCTTTTTAGCGCAAAACAAAGACTAATTGCACGAATTATTGTACAACCGATGCAATTGCTTGACTAGTATTTGCATCGGTACAAAACTAATGTAAAAAGACTAAAATAGCTGATGCTAAAGCCCTAATATGTAATAGTGACACTTATAGTCTTCTAATTTTAATGATAAAAAGAGAGCATTAAAACTTTATTTAATCCAATGAATATATTTTTATTCATTGCGCATTCATATTTATTTTTTAAATATCAAGATCACCAAAAACACATTGCATATATATGTAGTTCATTTGATAGTGTATTATATTTTTCATAAGTTTTGCATTTACCATTTAATGTATTAAGACAATGCTTTTATTTGTTTTAATAAAATTTTCTTTTTTTAACTATTTAAAGAAATACGAAGTATTATTAATCCAAGTCGAGCCAACCCGAAGCATGAGGGTTGTCGTGTATGTTGGGTTTGTGTTTCCATTATTAGGCTTGATACTCAAGCCAGCTCAAAATTCGGCATACCTTGCATTTTGATCAAGTCTAAAAATCTACAATACTCCTAGGCTGGCTCGTGTCTGTGGAGTACTTTGTGTATGTTTGCTAGTTCTTATAGGATTTTTTGCATATGTTTATGGGAAAAACACTAAATAAGGTGTAAAAACATAGAAAACATAATGAATTTAGGAGTTTCACATTTTTATTCTAAAAAATAAGAGTTACAATGTCAATTAAGTCATTATATAATATCAAATAGTATTGTGAAATGTTAATCTACACTATATCACATTTTTACAATGCAAACTTCTATTTTGAAATAAAAATATGAAACTCCTATTATGATAATTTTTCTATATTTTTCTCTATATAGGGTGATTCCTTTATGTTCATATAATACCCAGATGCATAAAGAAAGAAAAAGGTGACGTAGTATAAACCCAACACCGATTATGGGTATACAACATACGTACATTTCTCTTTGAAATTTGAAATAAGTTCGCAATAATTAAGGAATAAATTAATGAAATTTTTTTTATTCCATTTTGAAGCAAGATCTATACAATGGGCCATAAAATAGAATACATATTCTCTTCCTATGCCTTTATTATTAATCATACCCTACATTGTTTTATGATAGATCATTCATGAGGTTTTCTTGCTCCGTCCAGATATAAGATGACCCTTCAACCCTCCAATGATTGAAGATTAGCTGCAATATTAAAACATTCACATAAATAATAATCATTTTAAAACCTATATATAGATAATCAAGTACATTTATTTTATCTTTTTTTGATGAGGTAGTATACATATACAAATATATATATATACTCCCTCCGTTCCACAAAAACCTTCCGGTTTTGACTTTGGGGAAAAATAAGGAAAGTATAATTTTGGTTGACTTTCCAATTTTGCCCCTGATGTGATGGGAAAAAGTAAGATGTGATAGTTTGGTTATTAGTGAAAAAGTATGATGTGATAGGTAGGGTATGAAAAAGTAGGGGTAAAAGTGGTTTTTTAATAGAAAGTAGAAGTGTTTTGTGGAAAGTAAAAAAACGAAAGAGGAAGAGTTTTGTGGAACGGAGGGAGTATATACAAAACATACCTTTACGCTCGATAGCGGAACACTCGGTGTCACATTTCATCTCGCAATCGGTGTAGCCTCGGCCTTCCTTCATGCAATCATTTTGGCACTTGTCAAAGCACTGCTTGTAGACCTCAGATGCACCTTCCGCCTTGTCAAGATGCACGGCGGAGAGGACGAGGACACACAATACCAATATAGCTACCAACTTCTGGGTGGATGCCATTTTTTAATGCAATAACTTTCTAATAATTATTCTCTTGTAATATTTATTCTGTGTTTTTATAATTGTGTTCTCGTGAAGGATTACCCTTTCTCACACAAGGCTATTTATAGTTATTGTCTGTATTTTATGTTTGTATGATAAGCCATGAAGTTTGGATTTTCTTTTAAGGAGTATGTGGCCTAACATGAATATAGGGGTTTCTTCTTCAATTCAACCCTACATTTGGTACACAAATTTTGTTGCCATGTAATTAATTAACTCATTGTTTAATATTATATTATATATGCGTTACTACTTGCATTAATGGTGAACAATAAAATGTCTTTCACCTAAATTTAGAATAACGTACGGTCTCTTTTCATCTTATGTTATTGGCTTCTTGCATTTAAACATCCGCTCACGGTTATTTTGACACCACACCTTAGTGTCATATTCAGTACAAAAAACATGCATTTGGGACAGAAATAGTGATAACACTTAGGGGCTGTTTGGCAACTTCTGAATGGGTAAATGCTAAAGCAGTAAGAGGTCTGAATCAATAAGTGCTGAACCAGTAAGAGGTCTGAACCATTAAGAGCTAGTATATTGCTTAACTATTCAGAGGCAAATGTCTGATCAATTCAGATAACAGCTCTTAACCATTCAGACTCTGTATAATACTTAACCATTCAGAGGCAAATCTCTTAACCATTCAGACATCTGAACCATTAAGAGGCTGAAACAAACAGTTTGAACCATTAAGTGCTGAATCATTCAGACATCTGAACCATTAAGAGGCTGAAACAAACAGCCCCTTAGATTTACTCCCAATCTCTCTCATCCTCTTCGTATTCCAACCGTTTCTAGATCTATTCGCTTAGATCTACTCCCAATCTCTCTCATCTTCTTCGTATTCCAACCATGGAACCGTCATACACTGAGTTGGAATTGTGTTCCATCGTCCCTAAAACTCCAATTCCAACCATGGAATCCTCATTCTCTGAGTTTGTTGCACCCTTCTCAAGCCCCACTTAGGAATACAACATCCTTGTTGGACCCTTTTCAAGCCGCTTGATCTTCCCCACAAGGTGAACTAAGCTTTTTTATCGCCACACATGCATGGTTTCTCCGATACCATTTATAACACCCTGACCCCACACTGGACCGAAAGTTACTGCTCAGAATAAAAATTGTAGACTACCCCCGCAAACTAACACAAGTCTTTTTCGATTAGTGCACTTGACCTCACTCGTGCACTCCTAGAGGGCCCCATCCTAGAAATGTGTTAAGTGAAGAATGATCAACGTTAGAGTTTCTAAGTGATGAATTATGGAAAACAAGATGCATCTTCTTGATATTAGTAGTACTATCAATCCTTTTGAACTCTTTCCATTTCATATTAATATAGGATATTACATTATTAGAAATGGTGACCCCTTGGAAGTTTTCAGGGCGCAAATTAGTGTGCCAAAGTGCAGGAAATACCTGTGTTGGTTTCTGGAACCAGTCTATAATCTCATGAGTAATCAATTCTGCTTGGTATGGGGCTACGGTGTTATAAGTAGTTTATAGAAACCCCTGTGACTGTGGCAGGATAGCGAGCTCTGTTCACCTAGCGGGGAGGATCTTGGGGTAATCCACGAGGATGTTACATTCCTAAGTGAAGGTGAATGTAAAAACCCTATGATGACATAAAATGGATTGAAAAGAGTTTAAAATGGTTGACAGTACTACTCATACCAACAAGATGTCTCTACCTTTATAAAGTCCATAACTTAGAAACTTCAAAGTTAAGCGTGTTTGATTTGAAGAAATTTTTGTATGGATGACCAATGGGAAGTTTTGAAGGCGCAATGAATGATGCCAAAGTATGCAAGAAAGACTTGTGTTTGTTTATGGGGCAAGTCTACAATCCCATTAGTATTAGTGGTAACTTACGCCCAAGGTGGGGTGAGGATGTTAAATGAAGGACTTCTTGCAAACATCGTAAGACTAGGTAAGAGTCATAGCACTCTTCTTAGGAATAGGATAACAAACCCTAAACCTATTATTTTTCCCTTCTTCTACTTAAATTAGAACTTCTTATGCAATGAATAATTATCTCTTAATTAATCGTATGCTTTTAGCTCGATCACAACCTCTGATATGAAAATTAGACTATGAATAATCATTTCTTTTGAAAGGTGGAATATGAATGCTTCACGTCTTTGTAAGGTTACAGGCATGATTAGGGGTGGGCACGGGTTTTCAAATTTTAAAATTGAAACTGGACCTAACCCGACTTGTTTGAAACGAGTGAATTCCATGGGTCAACCTACGAGTCCAAACCCTCATGATACTAATATTAAAAAAATAAAATGATATAATAAATTAATAATACATACATGGTCATTCACCATTAGTCCACAACAATGTACTACCCCCATTGTCAATTTTAAATCATCCAACACAAAAAAGAGGCCTAAATGAAGACAAAATATGGACAAAGAGGGGTAAGGGTGTAACTCATAACGACGTTGTTCTCGGTGTAATTACTAATAATATTACGCAGTATTAAAAAGCGGTCCGGTATGGGTCCTGGACAATTTCAAAATGGAGAACCGGACCGAACCTAAAACCTATAAGAACTAGACTGACCCGGCCCGTTATAAATATTTGAAAAGAAGACCCGCCCCTAACCGAGATTGAACATGTCGGTTCGGTTCTGACTCCCGATTCCTTGACCTTTTGCCCACCCCTAGGCATGATGCTACAATGTGTTCTCTAAAACAACTACAAACTACTCTAAATAAAATTACTCTTTGCCAAAATTAATGTCAACTGAAGGGGGTGTATTCAATCTAGGTTTTGTAGGATTATTTTAGATTTTAAAAGTCAATAGGTATTCAATTAAGATTTTAAAAAATCATTTAAAATCCAAATGTATTCAATTCAGACTTTAAGAAGTCTATTAAAATCTACATCAAGGTTCAATGTCATTTGAACCTTCCCCTAAAATCTAATGTTATTAAACAATTCATAGATTTGAAAAGATTTTAATTATATATTGATTTTGATGAATTTCATAGTCTTTTTTCTAATGAAAAATCCTCAAACAAATCTCTTGCTACACCCATGGATTTTAAAGTAGACTTTTTGAACGACCTCATTCATTGTGGCCGTTTCGGCTTTTCCTTCGGTGCCATTTGTAAAGTGAGGGTTTTGGTGCCCTCAATACATGGAGCAATGGGAGGATGACATGTGTACCCTATTCCACATAATTTAATACAAAGTATATTTTTGTTTATTACAATCAGGCTCAGGTCAAAAATTCAATTATTATTTCGTATTTCTCACAAAAAAACAAAAAAAAATTAACAAAAAAAAGACAAAATCAAGAGTAATATTTAACAAAAAAACAAAAAAAAATTACAGAGATATTTCGGCACAACATACGACATCACATATACCTTTTTTATACTAAATCATGCTGCAAATCAAACTCAAAATGACAAATTGACATTTTTAAATCAAGAAAATTACACTCTGGAACACAATTACTCGTAGACTCATAAGAATTGCATTTTCGCACCAAAACAATAAGTAGAATAAAACCTGAAAAATAAAGCCAGAACGTAAAGAGAGGAGCACCAATCTAGGGCTTATGGAAAATTAGAAGAAAAAAACTTGGGAGATTCATTCCTAATTTTGGAGATAAGATCCGACCTAGGGACGACAGAGGAAGGGTGGCAGCGGGCGGATTCTGATTCCGGGAAAGAAAACGCTGGAGATGGAGAGGATGTTGGAGGGAGACAGTGATGCAGAAACGAAGAGATGTTGGAGACGGCGCAGAAGTTAACGGAAGATGGGAGAAACGGTAGATCCAAAGAAATAGTAATTGAATTTTAGATCTGGGCCTGATCTGATTGTAACAAACAAAAATATACTCCCTCCGTCCTAAAACTTTCTTCCCAGAGCACTATTCCAACTTCACGGGAATTTATATTTATTTGTGTTTTTTCATGGCCTATATGATAAAATAAAATATTCCCAAGTTTTTTCAATCTATTTTATTTAAATATTAGTATAGAATTAAAAAATAAAAATTACATATTAAAAAACTACATCAAAAGATCTACAAAACTATTAGTGACAATAATATTTTATTTCATCGAATTGCTAATGAAAATAGATAAAGAAAGTGAATGAAGTTTGACCCGAATAGTAAACAAACATTATAATTTGGGACGGAGAGAGTATTAAATTATGTGGAATAGAGTACACGTGTCATCCTCTAATTGCTCCATGTATTGAGGGCACCAAAACCCTCAGTTTACAAAATGGCACCCAAGGAAAAGCCGGCCGTTTCTTCTCCATTTTTATGCTCAAGCTCTCCCTAAGGAATTCTTACATTATTGGCCTATGAAAAGTCAAACTCAATCAAAGCTCATTCATGCTCAACTTCAGCCGCAAAAAAAATCATTCTTACTAATTTTCTAGTTGAAAAAAATATGAGAAACCATCGTCATACTCAGTAGAAGTTCTCCATCGTAGTGGCAATGCAAA